CTGAACCAAGCTACGCGTACTGCATTTTCTGAGATTAAAAAGCCTTGGCTAAAGCCACGCTCCTCGCATTTCCTGACCCATCAGCCACGCTTAGCTTAGTGGTTGATGCTTCAGATTTTGCTATAGGAGCCGTTATGCAACACAACATCTCTGGAAGTCATCAACCCCTCCAATTGTTCTCACGACGCCCTACTCCAGTTGAGACGAGATATAGTGCTTTTAGTCGCGAAATGCTAGCAGCCAACTGTGCCATCAGACATTTCCGGCATGCAGTAGAAATTCGTAACTTTATCCTCTTCACCCACCATGAGCCTCTAACATATGCTCTTCATATAAGGTCTCACCGATACTCACCACGAGAGTGAATTCATTTGTACCATTTATCTCAGTTCACGACAGACCGTCATGTAAAAGGCGAGTTAAACTGTTTTGCAGATGCTTTGTCACATATTTAAGTGAATTCAGTTACTTTACCGGTGCTCGGTCATTCTGATGTGGCTGCTGCCCAAGCAAATGATCCCTCCTGTACGGAAGAACAACAGTCTTCATCCCTTCAGTGACAGGAATTTCCCTCAGCTACCAGCTCAGGTACTATCCTGTGTGATAACTCCACTGGTTTACCCCGACCCACTTTACCATCTGTCCATCGTCGTCTCGTCTTCGATGCCCTTCATGGATTGTCTCATCTAGGTATCGCAGCCAAATTACGTCTCATTGCTGCACGATACGTCTGACTGTCCTTCACTAAAGATGTCCGTATGTGGGTAAAGCAATTCTTACAATGTCAACGGTCAAAAGTGCACAGGCACGTGGCCGCCCCTATCGGCACATTTGCTACGCCTGATGCTTGCTTCGATCATGTCCATATTGACACTGTAGGAACATTTCCACCATCGCATGGGTATGATCACGTACTCACATGCATCGATCGTTTCACAAGGTGGCCTGAAGCTATTCCCATCACTTCTACTACGGCGGATACAGTTGTTCACCGCCTCGTAGAACGATGGATAGCGCATTACGGTTGCCCCTAGACTGTCACAACTGACCGAGGACAAAAGTTGGAGTCAGAATTATTCTCCTCGCTAGCCCGGTTGCTTTGTACTGAGCGCATACACACTACAACCTACCACCCAGTTTCAAATGGTTTAGTTGAACGATCTCATTGCCAACTGAAAAGTGCTCTTCGAGCACACGAAAACAACAATTGGTACGAAACCTTACCGTGCGTCCTCTTAGGTATCAGAACGAGCTTAAAGGCAGGTAATAAATGTTTCGCCGCTGGATTGGCCTTCGGCACGACATTGCATCTACCTGAGGAATTTCGCACACCACGGAGCCGTAATCACTTCAACATCCTACTATTTCCTGAGTTTATGCGAACACTGCCTCCGGTGTTAACTCAAAAGTTATCTACCTGTTCAAGTGTTTTCACACGAGTCGATTCGGTACGCAAACCTTTGCAACAGCCTTACGAATGACCTTTTCACGTGATTTCTCATCATGAAAGGACCTTCAAGGTTGCTCGACATGGTCGCCTCGAGATCGTCAGCATTGATCATCTCAAGCCAGCACACGTCAATGAAAGTGCCGTATTTTCTAATCCGACGCCCAATGCTAGACCCATCAAACCTACTAGCGGGATCCTTAAAGCTACGTCGGATCAGAGACCTCATTCTCACGTCCCAGTCAACAGCACGCGTCATCTGCACTATCTACGGATGAGACTCCGGTCTCACGTCCAGATCAGCAGACCACGCCGTCCCTAACTTCGGATGAGATTGACGGCTCACGAGGATCGGAACCGTATGATATTGTTTAGGTAATTGTCTATATTCCTTTTTTGATTAATAATAGAACCGTTCTTACCCAGAACTTGTGTTTTGAAATTGGACTGGGCAAGGCGCTAAACCGAACTCTAACTGTTTCACTGGAGTGAATTTTCTAAAACATTTCAACTAGTTCTTGAGTATCTTTGTTTAAACAGGGCTTTTAACTTGATTTCTTTATATTTTTCAAACCGTATTTATGGTTCTTATAATACACTGGTTGTTTATTTTGCAGTTTTTACTTATTAAGCAACAGCACCATCAAAATAAAGAAACACCCGATAAACCGTAGAGTTAGAGGAATGAAAGTTGGAGGTTACGATTTAGAAAGTTTTAGATGACGGTGAAAATCGTCTGTTACTCACTCTGTGCTGGTTTCTTCACCCACCCTCGTAAAATAGTATCCATCTGGGCAACAGACAGTCGCCGCAGTTCCAGTGGGATCGAATATGAGTAAACATTTAAAGTCATCTCTGTCATCCAATATTTTTTTCACGTGCTAGTATACACCAACTGATTTCTTTGCTCTCCATTTTCGTTCTTTTGGTTTGGTAGTATCCAGTGAATGATGGTCTAGACACTTGACTGTCTAGTTCTATTCAGTTCGCAGTTGGTTGTGAGTTTGTGTGTGGTAATTGCAATGTGGAGAAAATTCTAATGCTAATATGAATAAGATTTCGGAACTAAATAAATCAACGAGTAATTTAGTTGATTAATTGGTATTGAAGATTTTGGGGGAGGACCGAAGTGTAGGCAAGGGAGAAGAAACAGAGATAATATGCGAGATGGATGAATTGAGTGGTCTGAGGAGGCTGTAATCACCTCGGCTGGGACAGCATTACAGGTCTTGATAACTCTCAAAGAGAAAAAGTGTGCACGAACCTGAGTGTTCGCTCTTTGATGTACAATTTTTCGAGGATTGCTTCGAGAGGAGTGGTGGTGTTGCATTGGTTAGATGCTGAAGGTGGGGTGGTTTGGCGCCTTAATCAGATCACCTCCGATCCTCCTGTAACTCAGTGAGAATAATTCCAAGTTCTGGGTCTATCTTCGTGAGGTCTATTCTTCAACCCTATCACCCATTTCCTTGCTCGTCTTTGCATTCGATCCAAGAGATTTATGTCCCTTTAAGCAGAGGGGGTGCCATGACGTTGTGAACCTCCAGGTGTGAACATGCATACGTCTTAAATGGTGTCAAAAATAACTGTGGGGTGTTGTCTTCGCATAAAGTGAAGAGTCGCGTTCGGCTTGGCTGCGTCCCCTACATAGTTCGAACTCGTGTGGAGGCTTTCTGTGGTTATTAAACCGAGATCACGCTCTGAGGAGACATTAAGGGGCGGGATTTCACTGGTGTAAATGGTTTGCGTTATGTGGGGCATAATATATATGACGTGACATTTCGGTTGGTTGAGTTTTAAACCATTTTTCACTGCCAGATGAGATGAAGTTGAACAGCCTTCCTTTGTTAATGAACCTGAGCAGGAATATAAATCACAACAATGTGATTTATAGCAATCACTTTAAACACAATACGTGTGTAAAAATTGTACTGATTTAGAAGTTTCGTTGCAAATTATAATAATGAAGGGAGATGAACAAACACAAGTACACATAATCACTCACTCAAATGTGAACAAATATATGACTTAGTCTTAGTCATTAGTTGATGTGAAAGTGAGAAGACTTTTCAAGTGCCAGTCCATAGGTTATTAGACTCAGTGAAGTATTTTTTGCAGTGAAAGATCATGAGACGGGTCTTTTCTTTTTGACGTACTCTTGCGATATTACGGTCTGACCTAGTTCTTTGGAACAACATATATACGCATTAAATCTCTGTATTCAAGCTCTCTGCTGAATAGTGTTCCGAAAATATACATGTTTGACCTATCAGTCATAAGTCCGAGTAAGAAGTGTAACTGGTTATAGATTTAGTGACCCTATCTAGTCTAAAATACTCCTGGCAACAGACAGCAATCAGAGAAATCAATTAAGTCATGTAAATTCTACTGAGGTGCCCAAATGGTCCTTACATAGGAGAGCCTTGAAATTTTATGGTGAATCTGACAGTCTTTAAAAGCCGTTAGTTCAGAACCTGATATGAAAAGCGAAGAAAGAGTTAATACAGGCGCATGGAATACCCTGACAAAAATACCCGAGGAACCATTCGAAAGGTTTTAGAAATGGTGCTCCAGGATCCTAAAAGTTCCTATTAAATAAAGAAGGAAGGAATTACAATGAATATCATCTAGTGCTAAATCCTCACTAATGTTAACACTGAAGACTATGAAGATCAAATGTACGAGAAGCTTCAGTTAATCCAAAACAACTGTCCAGGAAAAGACGTGACCAAGCTAACTGAGAAACAAATGTCAAAGTTCGGATGGACAAAATCATGAATGAAAATATTATGAAGGGATTAGAGATGGGTAGCTTACACATTTGTGTGGTGTAAAGAACACAGTTACAGGCGAGACTTATACACTCCACGGATATATGCACAAAGCACTTGGCAACAACTTAAAAGAAGAACGCAGAACGGAGTTGGTTCTAAATCATAAGGTCTATGCCTTGTGTTGTAATAGACTTCAGCAAGTAAGTCTTCCATTTGGGGAATTTATACAAGATTACTGGTCTTATGATTCTCTCTCACATGTAGATTGAGTAGTACAAATGGTGTTGATCAGTGAAGGAGTATCTTTTAGCATCTAGGTACGTGTGAACAAGTCTGTTGAATGTTATGTCAACATTCCTTTTTTCTTAGCATACCTTAAATGACCAGAACTGACAACATTTTCATGGTACTTTTAATCCACTGTCTTTATCTTCAAGAGAATCAAAACAATTGAGAGTCCTTGGTAATGAAAGTTTTAGATCCTTGAACTTAATTCCAATACTTTAAATGAATCAAGAGTAAATTTCATCGTTGAACTCGTTAGGCCGTTACTTATTACCGTAGCTTATAAATGCATTTTTAGTTGCTAGATGATTTGAGGATTAATTGTTGTTATTATATACTACCAGTGCATAAAACGTTAAAAGTATACAACTTTACATTCGCTTTATTTGTATTTGACCGAACAGATCAACTAGATGCCTCTGCACACACTTTCAAAATGAATTATCAAATTTTCTCATAAAGACATACATCAGAGTTATCCCCTCAAAGACTGGACCCTTAAAACTGCAAACATATACATTATTCTTGATAAATGTGATTCGAAGGGCTTAATTTGTTGGCAACAATGAAAGTGACTGTCTGTTTTGACGATGTCAAAGTTGTTGTCCCTTGCGGTAATGGAAGCATTCTGATTCGAGAGCTAGCTGAAATGGCTCTGTTAAGGTTTCAGAAATCTAGTTCTTCTCTGCAGCATGTAAGTTGTTTCTAGATTTATTACTGCATTAATTTTCCCTTTTCTGTCTCTATAAGCAAAGTTTATTACTTAATCGATGTTATGAGTCATTTTAAGTATGTCTAGGCTGCACTAATACTGAAATCATGGCCCACGTTTATCCCAACGAGGTGCTGTCTCTTCATGCTGACTTAAGATTACTTTCAGGCGACAATTTCCTGGTTAATACTCAGTAATCAAACTGCTAATGCTGTTCTTTATCAAAACTTTGTTAGTCAAGGTTTTTAAGCATCAGAATTTTGATCTAAACACTAGTACATTTGCATAACTTCATTTGTTTTTAAAGTTGATGTTTACTTGCTAGTTAAAAGTCTGCTTATTTTATTCAGTCGGAATAATGCTTAGGTCACAAATAAATACTATGAAAATTGTAGCGTGTAAACTGTTTGATTGATTACCGGAATCTCATCATGTTTGACACACTTACCAAACATTCTGAGAAATTTTATGACCTTTTCTAGATATTAGATCAAATTTCTGAATTTTCGCCTTATAATCGGTCAAATATATTTCAACCTGATGCACACAAAACAGAACTGTTGTTAAGCGAATTCGTTCTTTGAGCGAAGTAATCCTAAGCTTTGAAGGCATCAAAAATGTCAAATTTTACAAGTTTTAAGCCGTTTCACCTAATACTACTTACCCTTGCCTTACTATAGGCCAGAATTCAAGAATAATAGAAAGTTTTATTTAGTATTTGACCACTAAAGTGACCAAAATTAGTGCACAAGTAGTACCACATATTATTGTTGAGGACGGAAGTATAAGTGAAAATTATCTGTAACTGTTCACATCCTATCATACTGTTTTAGAGATGCTATCATTTTTTCTATGTGTATTCATTACTTTGAAGATTATATTATAGATAGTCAGTTGAGTAGGTAGATTTTGTTATGAAAAGTTACTAAGGCTTTTTTTTACTCGTGCTACGATTTGAATTTTACATAAGTCCACATTATTAATGCCCTTCAGCTGTAAGATGACTACAATTATCGTTGCTTTGCTATACGAAAACTTGAATAACATTTAGTGATTACGATTATGTTTTTTATTCAAAAATTTCGTGTCTACTTCTAGTGCTTAACAGTCTGTTTTCATCTCGTATAAATGTTCTTAAGTAATGTTACTATAGGATCAAATAGTTTATTTCATTTTTACCAGTCAATTTATTTCTAGTTGGCACTGATAAAGTTTACTATGACCAGTGTTATTCGCAATATTTTGGTTTTTCATATTTTGCATTATTACACATATCTGTCTTCGTATGAGCAACGACAGTAGTTAAAATATTGTAGGTTTATTCAAAAACTTGATATTAGTTTATGAGATATCAGTTCATGGTGACGATTTCTTGATAAACTGGCTACAAAATCGTTTAGTTGTAGTGAGTGTTCTATAAAATACTGACAGAACGTTGATAAGAATGCCGAAATGTGCCACAAATTTCTTCCAAGTACAGGAAGTAAGAACTGATCTGTAAGAACATAATTTGTAGACAATAGCCATTTGTATCATAACCATCCAGTGTTATCCGTAGTCTGTCAGGCTAAAAAGGGTGGTTTATATATGGAGAATTTTAGATCGAATGTAACGTGTAGCCTGTAAGGTTATTCGTATTCCCATGTATTTGCTGAGGGATTTAGAAGACATCACTGATAGACAACCTTGTTCACGAGTGATAAAGTGTATGTTCAGGATTTCTTGTAGACTACTTCCAACCATCAAAAACCAGCCATCACTTAGCAGTAATGTTAAAAGGCCAAATAGCTTGTAATAATCCTCTCGACTTGGAATACTATGGAGACGTAAACTCGCTATTAAAGGTTTTAACTATTATTCAGAGTAAATTTATTGGGATAAAAGCACGTTTTTTTCACCTACCCATTCCTTCTACTTTCTACTAAATTTGTCCCAGATATTTGCTATCCGTTATTACTAATTATTCAGGACGTTTTTGATGATTAGTTGAGTTTCATTTGCTTTTCAGTTTTAAAATTGTAATAGTGCAAATTTTTGATTAGGTAGATTTACTCAGGTGATATTTTATAAATATTTTATTTGGATGTACAATTTCTACCTTTATATCTTACTACTGATAAGCATAAAAATTTAGGCACTGAGGAATGCATTGTATATGGTAGGCTATGGTTTGTCAAATCTCATAATGAAATAAACTGTGATAGTCAGGATCAGAAATCTTTAAATCGAATTATTTCATTATTCCATGAAGTTATTAGTTTAAGTGAATTAAGTTTTGGCTTTCACATGTACTTCTTTAAAACGACATAAAGTGATGATTTGAGATTATAAAATAACAGCTACGAAAATGATCACACTTGGATTGATTCACTGAACATTGTTGCTATTCAAAAAGCCATCAACCAATGATTATTTAACTGCTTAAACATGACTTTAATTTGTCATCTATGGTAATGAGAGATACTTTCCTCAAGTTGTTTAAATCAAAAGTATCAAAGTGGCAATCAGATTATGGTTACTATCTGTGTGGTACTATACTTCTTATATGTTGTCTACAAACTGAGTGATCAATTCTTATTTTATCATGTTTTTGTAATAATCCGATGTGTGTTCAGTGGGTTAACTACAAAGTTATCCTTATCCAGTCCACATAAAAAACTCAATTCAGTGTATATTTTCAAATTCATAGTTCCAATTTCAATGTTAATACTTTTTTTTTAAGCAAAGCAGATGGTTTCAGTAATTTAATTAATCTGATCTCTATATTTCTTGTATTTATAAATCCAACGTTTAATAATGAATAAAGTTTGCAGTATATATATGTTTTTATTTTTCTCAAAAAAAGAAAATTATTGTACACTGATCGATGAGTATAAACAACTATATTATGATTATTTTCACTACATAATAAGATTCATTATCTGAATTGAACCAAAAAAACGTAAACTGTAACAAAACACTAAATGAACGAACAGTTGTTGTTTATTATAGAAATGTTCATATAAAATGTGAACAGATTAAAACAAAACAAAAAAAGAAAAGGAATTAATTCCTGCTCTTCTAAAAAAGGAAGAATTATGGTACAAAGTATGAGATAATGTAGTATATTTAATTTTTTTTTTTTTCATGAATGCATAAGTTTATCAATTAATTATAATGAATACAGCTGTTGTGTAAGTATACTTTCATTTAACAACTACTAAGTTCAATATATATATATATATGTTATGAATGAATTGTCTAGTTGAATAACAACAATCTATCCATTCATTAGTAATTTCCATCAAGTTTAGTAATCCAAGATAATGTAGCTAAATGACTTGTGTGCATTATGAAGTTACTGAAATGTGTACGATTATCATTGAAAGACATTTTAATGAAAAAATACACTGGGGACTGAAAAAAAAACAAACAAACGATTTTAATTCGAGAGTGAGAATAATAATAGATGTATGTGAACGTCATAAATTGGAACTTGTAAACATTCCAAACTAAATTATTTAATCAAAACCCCGTTTTAGCTGTTTAGTATGTTTTGTGGTCGTCCGAATGTGTTACTCATATATATACATGCTTCCTAGGCACGGAAAGTTGTAAATAAAATTGTATTGATTAAATAGGGGTGAAACTTATTCATAAAGTAATCTCTTTATCTCTTTCAGAAAATGGAGATCTATTTTCAACAGATAGCATAAATCCTTTTATTATCATTTCACCCTTACCAATTTGGATTTTTTCCTGAATGTCTTAAATTGTCACCATCTCATTTATTTTCAGCAGTAGTCAAAACCATGTTAGTTAGTGATTGAAATATCTTCTAGGAAATTTCTTTAGTTTTTGTTTTGTTCAGACACTCTAATATTAGCTGTCATGCATGTAGGTCGGAATAAGGTTAAGGCTAACCAGATAAAAGAAATTAGCATCAGTGTTTAAGAGGTCACCAAGAACATATTGAATTATGGTAAGAAAATAATTGTAGACAGTAGTTAGAGACTAGTAGTATCAGTAGTATCAATCACCGTTACATAAATATCTAAATGTTCTTTTTATATTCTAGAATTTCGGTTTTATCCTTCCATTTGATTTGGTTTTTTGAACTGTGTTTCTAATATTTCGTTGTCTATGATTAGTAATACTATTATTGTCTTAGACAGTTTGTTTATGAACTCTTTACTTCCTTTTCACTATAGTGATTTGAAGTATGGTAGCTTGAACGAATAAATGTTTTTGTAAGTTTTTATCCTATTTTTACCTAAATGATTGACTTGAATTATTTTTCGAGTTGGTAGTCAAATAATGTGTTGTGTAATACTAGAGTAAATAAGCAAATAAGTATTATTCCAATACTTACTTAGTTGTTTACCGAAGGATCGGAATAATCACAACTGGATATGGAAAATATGAAAACGCTTCTGGCACCATTTGAAAATGTTTCATTATCGATATTCTTGAGCGTTTTAACGATAAAACCTATGAATGCAGAACATCAAAATAAGGAGTTTGACGAGATCATTGAAGGTTACTGAGATCTTGAACTGACACCAGTTAAACAGCCAAGGAAGAACTGAACAACTGTTTTTTCTTAGTATACCAATCCTGAACAGAACACATTGACGACTCATCCACAAAGGATTGAACCCAGAACCTTTACATAACCTCTAGACCACTGGGATAGTATACTTGAGTATATATGCCTAACTTTAATTAGTTCACAATATCATGCAACCATTTCACTTTTGTTCTCAGTGGTTAACTGTTCCACAAGCGACACACGTGAACTCCATTTATCACAATTTCCCACGAAATCACTGTCTATTCCTTTCAGTAGGTGTTAGGTTGATTCATGGTTTCAATATGTATCAGATAATCGTAAGACATTTCAAAGACTAGTGTGAAATCTCGATTTGACCACCGCCGAACCATATTTAATCTGTACTGGTAAACAAAAATGATAGACTAGGTGATAATAAGATACCTGCAAA